ACTATTAGATTTCCAAAACACACACAATTTACTCTTCATAACATTGTTTTTCCTGAACACTCTGGGATTTTCAGAATGGTACACTAGTAATGGCTTCACTTTGAAATCCCCACTAGCATTAGCACAGAACATGAGCGTCAGCCTCTTTCATAGGCTTGTGTCCTGGCATTGCTTTTTCCTCTTGTGTAATGAAGGTCCTCTTTGGCATTTTCTTCCAAAAGAGGCCTGTTTCGTTACAAATGAACACTTGTTCAGGTTTCAGTCCTTCAGCCTCTATGTACTCCTGGAATTCATGCACATATTTTTCAGCCGCCTTGTGGTCCGAAGTGGCAGCCTCACCATGCCTTACCACACTGTGTATGCCAGTACGATTCTTAAATCTCTCAAACCAGCCTTTGCTGGCCTTAAATTCACTCACATCACCACTATTTGCAAGCAATTTCTTTATCAAATCTTCATGCAACTGCCTAGCCTTTTCACAAATAATCGAAGTCATAAGAGTATCTCCTGCTAATTGTTCCTCATTTATCCACACCAATAATAACTTCTCAACCTCTTCGAGTACTGGTGATCTCATTTTTGTCAGCATACTTACCCCCTTTGCAACAACAGCGTCCTTGATTTCCTTTTTCTTGGCCACTATGGAACATAAGGTTGTGTAGGGTTTCTTATACATCCTGGCCAGTTCGGCCACACTTGTACCACTTTCATATTGTTCAATGATGGTTTTCTTAAATTCAATCGTATTTCTCACCTTTACCACAGGCTTGGCACTAGGAGCTTTCTTTGGAGCCATGGTAGCTTATTTAGTACTTGCATGCACTAAAATAAATGGAATATTATGAAATATTTCGCTGGAGCACATGAGGGGACCTTCGCTCACTGGTAAACAATGCCAGACTGGCTGCCGCCACGGCTCACGCCGTGGGTACGCATCCGGGACGAATTACGACTCGCGAGTCAACTTATGAAAAGCGAGTCCATGTTTTTACGAAAATAACCCTATGATTGGCGAAAATTACGATTGCCAGGAACTACGAGAAGCGAGGGACCACTGTAATTATAATAATAGACGACTTCAAAAGGCCGTCACTAGTTGGCAGCATTTACCGCAACTAAGAGGGAGCAGTTGTGGCCACCTCCACCTGTCACATAATGACATTTTATGCATTCTGGAGTATATATCAGGTTTCTATGTTATTTATATTATTATTTCATATTAGATGAAATGTGATAGATAAATAAGCCGTAGAGTTGATGATAGCGAAATATTCAAGGAGTATTTTGTCCTGTCTCCAGACAAACTCTCGTCGGCTACCGCTGCTGCCACATATATAATGACATATTGTTTGTTTCTGTGTTATTTATATTGTTTGTTACGTCATATTAGATGAATTGTGATAGATAAATAAGCCGTAGATTTGATATTAGCAAAATTATTGAAGTACAGAATTCCACTGGAATGGATTAATTGCATTTCAATTAATTTAAATGAGGAAAATTGACTCTGCAAATGAGCAAATTCAGTTGCGAGCAAGGTCATGGAACGGATTAAACTTGCAAGTAGAGGTTCCAATGTACTCTTCAATAAAGGTAAGTGTCATTTTAACATTTATTTATATAGTTATTGTGCATGTCTCATTGTTTTCTTTGTAAGGAAATGTATATTTCATGAAAAAATTTTTTTTAATACTTTTGGCTGTCTGAAACGGATTAATTAATTTCCATTATGGGGAAAATTAATTCGGCTAACGATAATTTCGTCTAACGATGAGCTCTCAGGAACGGATTAATATCGTTAGCCGAGGGTCCACTGTACTTCAATAATTTCCCTAATATCAACACTACAGCTTATTTATCTATCACAAAATATGTAATATGACATAATAAACAATGATGTCTGCCACTGCTGCTTCATGTTGTCTGTCACTGTTGCTTCATGTTGTCTGCCACTGCTGCTTCATGTTGTCTGCTCCCACTTTTGCTAGTGTGCTGAAGAGCTTTCCAACATGTGAAGGTTGAGGGCAGTGCCAGTTGGACAGTTACTGGATGGTGACGTCATTTGTTTACTCTCGAACATCGCCAAAGAATCAAACATTTCTGCTAATTTGAGCTCAATTTCAAGGTACTTTTCATTGTGAAACCAATCAAAATTATATCCATTTCTGTAGTATATCTTCCATTCTATCAAATGAGACCAAAAAAACGAGACTACAACCATAAAAACCACACAAAAATATACTGCTAAGGGGAGGCTAATGACTGAGAAGTGAACTCCGTTATTTATGGTCCGATTTTTTTTAATTTTTGGTGTACCCTAAGAAGCATCTTTCCATCATACATTGCCCAAGTTTCAATAAGATAGTCCAACAAACAACTCAGATCCAATTCCCTAGATCAAGAGCAAGAGCCCCTCACCAGCGTCTAGAAACCTCCCATGAGGTCCGATCGCATCTGGAAATTTCGTTCGAGTCTGGAAGCAAAAAATTGACCGAGCGACTGCTGGTATCTGGAAAAACTCGCACATGGATGTACTCATGAGGAGAGGTTCCACTGTATGTATATGTGTTTGTGTGTATATATATATACAGTGGACCCCCAGTATTCGATATTAATCCGTTCCTGAGAGCTCATCGAATACCGACAATATCGAAAACCGAATCAATTTTCCTCATAGAAATAATGGAAATCAAATTAATCCGTGCAAGACACCCAAAAGTATGAAAAAAAAAATTTGTACTACATGAAATATTAAGTTTAATGAAATAGAGTAATTACAATAACAATAAAATAATTGAAACTTACCTTTAATGAAGATCTGGTGATGATTGATGGGATGGGAGGAGGGGAGAGGTGTTAGTGTTTCGAAGGGAAAGCCCCTTCCATTAGGACTTGAGGTAGCAAGTCCTTTTCTGGGGTTACTTCCCTTCTTCTTTTAATGCCACTAGGACCAGCTTGAGAGTCACTGGACTTCTGTCGCACAACATAACTGGCAGCCTCACCATGCCTAATCACACTATGTATGCCACTACGATTCTTAAATCTTTCAAACCAACCTTTGCTGGCCTTAAATTCACTCGCATCACCACTAGTTGCAGGCAATTTCTTTACCAAATCGTCATACAACTGCCTAGCCTTTTCACAAATGATCGCTTGAGAGATGCTATCTCCTGCTGTTTTTCATTTATCCACACCAGTAACAATCTCTCAACATTTTCTAACACTTGTGGTCGCTGTTTTGTAATCACAGTTGCACCTTTTGCAAGAACAGCTTCCTTGATTGCCGTTTTCCTGGTCACTATAGTAGAGATGGTTGATTGGGGTTTATTATACAACCTGACCAGCTCCGACACACGCACTCCACTTTCGTACTTTGCAATTATCTCTTTCTTCATTTCATAAGTCATTAGCGACTTTTTTCTCGAAGGGTTGGCACTAGAAGCTTTCTTGGGGCCCATGGTGACTTATTTTGCAGAAACAAGCACCAAACACAGTGATAATATGGATAATATGGAATGTACCGAATGTATCCTAGATGCGCGCACACTGGCTGGCTTGTAAACACTACCACACACGGAGCAGTTCAGGCCACACGTGGACAGGTCTCGTACGAATCGTATCGAATACCGGGTTTTCAATCTAATACCGAGGAAAAATTTTTGCGTTAAAATGCATCGAAAACCGGATTTATCGAATACTAATGCCATCGAATACCAGGGGTCCACTGTAGTGTGATCAAGTAGTATATAAGTTGCTAATTTACTAATCTTTAATGTAAGAAAATGATGCAACACTGCATATTTAAGCTGAACAAATTTTTGTCTATTATTATTCACCGTAGACAACAATGTAGACATGGTTCACCGTAGACGACAATGTAGACATGGTTCAACTGATACATTAGAAAATATTTCTAAATAAAATATTGTGTAAACACGCTAGATAACATGTGTATCTTGCTACTTTTATAAACATTTAGGTTACACTACACATGCATGTGCATGTATATATATTTACACACCCATCTGGGTTCTCTTCTATTTTCTTAATAGTGCTTGTTCTTCTTTATTTCCTCTTTTCTACATAGGGAAGTGGAACAGAATTCTTCCTCTGTAAGCAATGCGTGTCGTAAGAAGAGACTAGCATGCCGGGAGCAAGAGGCTGGTAACCCCTTGTCCTGTATTTCTTTTTTTTTTTTTCAACAAGTCGGTTGTCTCCCACCGAGGCAGGGTGACCCAAAAAAGAAAGAAAATCCCCAAAAAGAAAATACTTTCATCATCATTCAACACTTTCACCACACTCACACATTATCACTGCTTTTGCAGAGGTGCTCAGAATACAACAGTTTAGAAGCATATACGTATAAAGATACACAACATATCCCTCCAAACTGCCAATATCCCAAACCCCTCCTTTAAAGTGCAGGCATTGTACTTCCCATTTCCAGGACTCAAGTCCGACTATATGAAAATAACCGGTTTCCCTGAATCCCTTCACTAAATATTGTCCTGTATACATTACTAAAATTAAAAAAAGAAACTTTTATTTTTATTTTTGGTCCACCCTGCTTTGGTGGGATACAGTCAGTTTGTTGAAAGATGAATATATTTAAAGATTGAATCACTGAAAATTTGACCTATGTGCTGATGGTGTATCATGCAAGAATTGTGTGTGTCTGGGGAAGACTTCTAAATCCTATCTGACACACCTAGGACAATATACCATATAAAAAAATCTACACACATTTTTACGTAAAATTTTTCTTAATGTGATAATTTTATTGGGAAAGATCGGTGCTAGATATAAAGACTATATAGACTCTACTAATTAAAAATGTATGCAAAAGCACATAGTATCTTTTAATGGTGGAGAAATAATACTCGCTGGGAAGTAACCAGGTGATGCATGACTGCATCACCTGGTTACTTCCACAAGTTTTTTTTTTTGGAGGATTGTAATTCAAAAGAATAATGCTAAAATAATATATTTGAGTGTGAGACCTTATCATTGAGAGAGGTAATCTGGTGTTGGTGAGCTGCCTCAGAGACATGGTTGGGTGGGGCTGGACCCTGGGCAGCAGACAACGATGCCAAACATTCTTCCAGCTGCTTCTCCTTCTCAGTGTGCAGAACTTCAAGGTGACGTATTGCTGCTCCAAGTCGCTCAACTTCATCCTGGAGTTTCTGTTGTCGGACAAGTTGCAGTAGTTAAGAACACTAAAAAATGATACAAATTAAACTTGAAATAAATTCAAAGTGCAACATTTGAAGAAAAATCATAAAAAGCTGATCAAAAACATCAGTCACCATGACAAAAAAAAAAAAAAAAAAAAAAAAAAAAAAAAAAAAAAAAAAAAAAAAAAAAAAAAAAAAAAAAAAAAAAAATAGTTACCAGAAAAACTATTTAAAAGTATAATGTTAGTTACCTTTACTTCTAATTCATAATCAGCTTGGTAAAATTTTTTAAGGTTTTGATTTGCCTCATCCAAATCACGTTTAGAAACTGTCAGTTCCCGCTTGACTCGTGTCTCTGAACGGCTAAGGTTCTCATAATCAGATTGTTGCTGGTCAATAACTTGCTGCTGAGAGCGAATCTGGTTACAGAGACGGTCACTGAAATATGCATTAACATGTCATTATGCACTTTGTACAGTACAGTAAAAATCAAACAGAAAATGCTCAATAAATGGACAAATTAAATAATACATACATTCGTTGAACACCGGATCTGGTCATAAATTACAGCCTCTCCTCATTTAGCGATGTACTCGTTTACTGATGACTTGGACTTACAACGGGCTCTCTGACTAGTACACACACCTAAATTATGTATATTAAGAGCTGATTTCCTCTATTCTATTTATTACAATATAGAGTACGCTACTGTATAAACATTTAAAAATATACGTACTAATAATGTTATAAATTGTGCAAAGGGGACATTAAAACAATATCAAAGACGGCTGACACAAACCCACTACCACTGTAGTATGCTCCTTGCTTAGCGACAAACTCGTTTACCAATGTGGTCTTAGGAATGAAACTTTGTTGTTAAGTGAGGAGAGGCTGTATTTACATGGTTAGGTTACTGTGGTTTGGGGAACTGGTCATAAAATATTTGTGACTAGTTCCCCACATCAGTGGGGGATCTGGATATAACATATTTATATGGTTACTGTAGTGTGAGGATTTGGATATAACATATGTATATGGTTACTGTAGTACAAGAATGGGTCTTAACACTTGGTGTGCGCAGTATTAAAAAAATCTGGGATCACTTAGTACCTTGTGGGATCACCAGTTCAATTGAGAGTCAGCTAGAGCAAACAGCATGGCAAACACCTGAGGTTCACTGATATTATGTAGTATTAACACTCCCATTTTAAGAGGAAAGTGATGCTGACCCCGAGTTTAGTGACTCTGAGGTGGATGTGGCAACAAGTGCTTGAGGAAATATCAAAAACCTTGATAATAACCCATGTGCAACATCTGTGCAACACCCTTTCAATTTTGGTATCACTGGTATTGTCATCCTGTCAGAATGTCTTATATCCTATGCCCTAAGAGAAATAATTCTGGAATGTGCAATACATGTTTGGCAGGTAGGCTGGCTGGCTGGCTGGCTGGCTGATTGGCTGTCTCTATCTCCGTCTGTCTGTCTGTATCTGCATCTCTGTCTCTATGTCTATCTCTGTCTCTGTGTATCTCTTTGTCTCACAGGTACACATAAATACAATTATACACAATGTAAATTACCTATGATAACCCAAAAAAATCCAGACAAAGTGCTATACTGTGCTTGTAGATATAATGCATAGTAAGCATGACTGGCAAGTAATACATATTTACACTTGCTCAGGAATCAGACATAACAAATGCGTCGTGTGTAATACCTGTTGGTTCATGAGTGACTGAGAGAGAGACAAGCAGAGAGACCAAAAGACATATAAGTAGAGACAGAGATAAACAGAGAGTTAGACAAACAGACATGTTTAAGTGTAACAGTGAAAACAAATAAAGTCAAGGCAGTGCACACACATCAAATGTCATCACTGCTGCACTGTCAGATGGAGTGACACTCGTCTTACACATGCTTCAAGGAAGCTTATTATTATTATTATCATCATATACTCCCACATATTCAAAACATTGCTGGAACCTATAAATACTACTATGTATATGTTTATAGACAATAGTATGTGACTAAGGTAGGTGAAAATGTTCACCTGTAACTGTGCTTGTGACTATTTGAGTACTAATTCAGTACCTAATATTAGTGTCAGAACAAAGATTAGCTATGAAATCACAAGTACTACTACAAATTGTAATTATCAGATTAAAAAAAAAAAAAAAAAAAAAAAAAAAAAAAAAAAAAAAAGAGAGAAAAAAAGGTATATTGGCAACATTTCTGCAAGCAGCAGTGCTTCATGTTGCCATCAAGTGAGCGACAAGCACTGACTTTGTGGCCTTATACAGTGGAACCTCAAATATTGAACTTTCTTCGGTCCAGAAGGCTGTTCGAGTGTCTTTACCGAATGAATTTATTCCCATTAGGAATAATGTAAATTAGATTAGTCCATTTCAGACCCTCAAAAATACACTTATAAAAGCACTTACAAAAATACACTTACATAATTGGTTGTGTTGGGAGCAGTTCGATTTTTGAGGTTCCACTGTATCTCCGTAAGTACTAATTTTTTTTTTTTTACATTGCTTTATGTAAAAAAAAAGTCCTCTACATTAAAAAAAAAAAAAAAAAAAAAAAAATTCTCAAAATATTCAAAGCACTGGGCGAGAGAACGTAGATCTACATTTTGACAGTTAACCCCTTGACTGTGTCGCAACCCCAAATCCTGAGATGTCTCCTGGTGTTGCAAAATTTCCGGAAAAAAAAAATTATTTTTTCTTATGAAATGATAGAGAATCTTTTCCCGATTGTAATGACATGAAAAGAACAAAATTTGATGGAAAACTGATGGAATTACGCGCTCACGAAGTTAGTGACCTCGGTGATATTTATGAATCTGCGATTTTGCCCACTTTGAGTCCTATTATTGGCTAATTCCATTGTTCCAGTCGACCAAACTCATAGCTATTTCTTTAGAACTCTATTTTTTCTATCAATTGAGTACAAGAAACTGCCCATTTACTGATTTCAACCAGCCAATAACGTCGTCAGAAATTTGCAATTTGGCCAATTTCACAAAAATTAAAAAATATGACTATTTCAAAATAAGGTCCAGAATGAAGAATGCAGACATTCTTGGCTCTAAAATAACATTTTCTTTGTTCATCAGTCACGTCTCCAGTCCCCTCTGATATTGCTTTCTATTTTGAATTTTTATTCAAACCAAAAATAGAAGATTTACTGTTATGCAGACTACTGCAAAATTGTAATAATTGTATAAATAATGTCAACCCATTCATGACTGCATATCAGAATGGCTAGTTGGACATTTACTGTACAATAACATCATTTGTTTACTTTTGAACATTGGCAAAAATCAAACATTTCCCCTATTTTGAGCTCCATTTCAGGGTTCTATCCATAGAAAAACCAATCAAAATCACATCTATTTCTATAATATGTTTTCCATTCTATCAAATGAGACCAAGAAAACGAGAATACAACCATATATACTATACGAAAATAGACCACAAAGTCGGCATTTTAATTGAAAAAACGGTCGGAGTTTTTTTTTCTAATTATGCACTGTGTGCTGCTGGATTATTTTTATATGGTGCACACTGACCATACAGCCGATTCTGTCACATCTGGGCCTACCAGCTTTCTCCTGCTTGATTTGAAGCCTCTAGAATTTATGAGTATATATGTCAAAAATGGTGGCTCGTAAGACGTATATATACGACCCAAACAGTCAGAGGTTAAGGGGTTAAGTAACACTGACCGGCAAAGTGAGTTAGCAGCCAGCCTTGATACTGAATAAGAAAAGCAAAAGGGGATTATGAGGCAAAGGTCGCAAGGGATTCGAAGATTAACCCAAAAGGGTTCATTCAGGTATACAGAAGTAAGATTAGGGACAAGATAGGCTCACTTAAGAATAACTATATATATACATACATCTAGGTTTTTCTTCTTTTTCTAAATAGCTCTTGTTCTTCTTTATTTCCTCTATTGTCCATGGGGAAGTGGAAAAGAATCTTTCCTCCGTAAGCCATGCGTGTCGTATGAGGAGACTAAAATGCCGGGAGCAATGGGCTAGTAACCCCTTCTCCTGTAGACATTTACTAAAAAAGAGAAGAAGAAAAACTTTATAAAACTGGGATGCTTGAATGTGCATGGATGTAGTGCGGATGACAAGAAACAGATGATTGCTGATGTTATGAATGAAAAGAAGTTGGATGTCCTGGCCCTAAGCAAAACAAAGATGAAGGGGTAGGGGATTTCAGTGGAGGAAATAAATGGGATTAAATCTGGAGTATCTGAGAGAGTTAGAGCAAAGGAAGGGGTAGCAGTAATGTTGAAGGATCAGTTATGGAAGGAGAAAAGAGAATATGAATGCGTAAATTCAAGAATTATGTGGATTAAAGTAAAGGTTGGATCCGAGAAGTGGGTCATAATAAGCGTGTATGCACCTGGAGAAGAAAGGAATGCAGAGGAGAGAGAGAGAGATTTTGGGAGATGTTAAGTGAATGTATAGGAGCCTTTGAACCAAGTGAGAGAGTAATTGTGGTAGGGGACCTGAATGCTAAAGTAGGAGAAACTTTTAGAGAGGGTGTGGTAGGTAAGTTTGGGGTGCCAGGTGTAAATGATAATGGGAGCCCTTTGATTGAACTTTGTATAGAAAGGGGTTTAGTTATAGGTAATACATATTTTAAGAAAAAGAAGATAAATAAGTATACAAGATATGATGTAGGGCGAAATAACAGTAGTTTGTTGGATTATGTATTGGTAGATAAAAGACTGTTGAGTAGACTTCAGGATGTACATGTTTATAAAGGGGCCACAGATATATCAGATCACTTTCTAGTTGTAGCTACACTGAGAGTAAAAGGTAGATGGGATACAAGGAGAATAGAAGCATCAGGGAAGAGAGAGGTGAAGGTTTATAAACTAAAAGAGGAGGCAGTTAGGGTAAGATATAAACAGCTATTCGAGGAGAGATGGGCTAATGAGAGCATAGGCAATGGGGGTCGAAGAGGTATGGGGTAGGTTTAAAAATGTAGTGTTAGAGTGTTCAGCAGAAGTTTGTGGTTACGGGAAAGTGGGTGCGGGGGGGAAGAGGAGCTTTGGTGGAATGATGAGTAAAGAAAGTAAGGGAGAAAAATTGCATATGAAAAGTTTTTACAAAGTAAAGTGAGCAGGAGGGAAGAGTATAGGGGAAAAAGAGAGAGGGTTAAAGAGGGGGGAACAATTAAAAAAAAAGCAAAAAGAAAATGGGGAGATGTTTCAACAAATTTTTGTGAAAAAAAGAAAAAGTTTTTGGGGTGAATTACAAGTTAAGGAAGCCAAGAAACAAATGGATTTGCCAGTTAAAAATAGAGGGAGAGTTTTTAAATGGAGAGTTAGAGGTATTGGGAAATGGAGGAAATTTTTGAGGAATTGTTAAATGTTGATGAAGATAGGGAAGCTGTGATTTCGTGTATAGGGC